ATCGGTCTGCCGGCGGCTGCGATCCCCGGCGATAGACACACCGACTATCCACCTTCGGAGAGCAGCTGCTTAGCCACCAGTTATTTATATTTATTTATATTTAATTTTCCAACCGTGCTTCGTTAGACACAGAAACGCTCCTCTGCCAACGAGACGCACGAACAATGGGAAAGCGTGAACGGGAGTTTCATAACCTCCCTGGTTTGTTGTGGGTGCGATGCTGTGTGTCCGTCCCTTCCCAGACCTGCACCTTGATGCTCTTGAGCATCTCCTGGGCTGCTTGCTTAGGGATGCAGGTGAATCCAAAGGCTGCACGTCCAGCTCTCTGCAGATGCTGAATTTAAGCAGTAAAGAGAAGGGGGTAGGGAGATGGGAGCAGGAAATAGAGCTGGTGCCCAGTTAGTAAGAGGAAGGAGCAATATAAAACAAAGGTCAGGTTCCTCTTGAGAGAAGAGGAATGAAAGCAGCAGTGCACGGCGGGGAGGAGGTAAACAAAATGAAGGTTAATAGCTACTGAAGGAGAACATTAGAAGACAAGATGGAGGGGGAGAGGGAGTGCAGAGCCAGAGAGATGCGGCTGCAGCGAGGTTTGGAGAATAAAAGCCAAAGTGCTGCGGTGCTCGGCGCTCTCCTGGCGTGACCTCCGACACCCGTGGGCTCAGGGGCTGCTGTGTGGGCAACGCAGATTGCCAGGCGGGCACTGCCGCTGTCTGCCAGGAGGGAGCTCGTCTGGGGTCTCATGGCAGTGGGAGCATCACTTTCCTTCCAGGCAGCTGATATAACCCTTTGTACAGTCCAATACACCAATTTAATGCCAGCCCCGGCAAAGGTTTTCACTGATTTCTAATGTCCTGTCCCAGCATCCACACGGGTATCACTTGGCACCCTTGGAGTATCTTCCAGATACTCTTGTTTCTTTCCTGGACCGCTTCATCCGCACACATGGTAGACCACCACCCGCGTACTGCTTGATGCACGCACGGGGTGGCTCAGCAATCCAGCATCCACCCCACCTCCCACTGACACCATCGCTTCCAGGGTGCCCCTGCAATTAAGAGGGCAGCTAATTGCCAGCACGGACGCAGCTGCACGCTCGCGAAAAGCACTCAGAAATAACACTCACAAGGTAGGTGCCAGCCAGAATTAGACCCTCCGCAGGGTACGGCTCGTGCACATCGCCCAGCCGGCCCCACGCTGCCGTCCGGGGCTGGCTGCAGCTCGGCTGGGCGCAGAGCCAGCCCCGGGTGTGGGCATACAGGGCTTGGGTTTGCTAAACCGCTGTAAATCCTTTAATTTCAGAGGCGTTTCATTGAAAGCCGGGGGGATGCAAAGTTTGCAGAGTGGCGCTGAGCCCTCCCCTGTTAAGAGGAACCATAGGTACGGCTCCTCCCTCCATAGCCAGGCATTCGCACTATTAAATTAGCTTAAAATACTAAAAATACAACCCCCAAAGCAGTGGGTCACCCGTCCTTCCCGCATCCCACAGCGCTTCTCCGCGGCGCGCCAGCGCGGCTC